AACATAGATTTCTAACAGGATCCCAAGTGCTGCTGGGACCTCATGTTGAGAGCCTCCGCCCTGTGCCCTGTCCACAGTAAATCCTCGATAGGGGGTGGATAATTTCGTGATCTATTTATCTTTATAATGGAGTCAACATATAAAGAACCTAGCACGGCGCCTGGTCCATAGCATAAGCCCGATAGGTATCGTTTTTGTGATTTTCATTATTGAGACGGGAGCTCTGCTTATAGCTTCTTGGGAGCAACGGTAGAACAATGCCAGAGAGGCCGTGATGGACTGGACACTGCGCATTCCCGTGTCCCCTCAGCCAGCCGCTACTGAGCCTCCGCTCCATGCCAAGTGTCATGGGGACAAAGCAGCGGACGACTCGACAAGGTCCTGACATCGTTCAGACTCTGGCTCCAGGGGGTCGAGAGCTGCAGTACCTAGGAAGGCTTCCAGGGGGAGGTGGAGCTTGAGCTGGGCTGCTCTGGAAGGGCGAAATGCAGAGGAGGGGACGTTCTGGCAAGTCCCTGATCTCAGAGCCCCTTGGAGGCACGCACACGCACACCCCAAGTGTGCGGCGCCAGGAAGCCTGGGGAAGCTTAAGTGCATTAATTTTCCTATCGAAATTCATTGCTTCGTGGTTCTGGAGGCTGGAAGCCCAAGACCGAGGTGTCGGCAGGCGGTTAGTGTGCAGCGAGGCCTTTCTTCCGGGTGTCCTCACGGGGCCTGTGCCCGTGTGTGCTCAGCCCTGGTGTCTCTTCCTCTTCTTACAAGGACCTGAGTCCCGTTGAATCAGGACCCACCCTTATGATGCCACTTTACTTTAATCATCTCCTGAAAGGCCCGGTTCCAAATACAGTCACATCGGAGTCAGGGCTTCAGCCTAAGAATGTTCGGGGCACACTTCCGTCCATGCAGGGGGCGACAGGGGAGCCTGGCCTGGGCTCAGGCCTATCCTGCCTGGCCAGAGCTCTCCACCTGTCCCTCAAGGCTGGGACAGAGCAGACATAACCCAAGCAGCCCCTGGCGGGCAGCCAGCCCAGGCAGGGTCACCCCACATCTTCGCCCAGCCCCTTCCTCCAGATTTCAGGTACTCCCTCCCAGCGGTCGGCCACCTCTTGAGTAAATCGCTCGGCAGAAGATGCTCTCCAAAGCACGGCCACATGCTGCTGTCATTGATTTCATTTTGATTATTCATATTAGTGGAAACGCTGCTGCCTGGCTGTGGGTGGTAATTAGGGTCAGCGTCGAGTACGGGCCATCGGGCTCCTGTGACGGCCACTCCGGCCTTGGCTCTGCGGACCAGCCCCGCCAGGGCCAGCGTCGGGCCCGGGCACGTGCGTCCCAGCACAGCAACAGGACTGCTGGGAACCCACAGGAGCACCCACAGCACCCTGCCTTCCAGCGTCTGGCACGGCCCTCCTGGCCTCCCCCTTCCTGTGCAGGCCAGTGGAGGAGCCGGCCTGGCCTAGGCACACCCACCTTCTACCTCTCCGGTCCCTCCCCCTGTGGGCACGGGGTCCCCCTTCACCACCTGAGCAGCCCAGGAACCACGGCCCCATGCGTGGGGGGAGCTGAAGAGAGGCCCCTCCACCGGGAACTTGGCAGAGCTGGGCCCAAGCATTCCAGACGTCCTCCGGGACACTTGGCCCACTGCGGCCTGGATTTGAGGAGCCGGTTGCCCGCCAGCGAGATTCCGTGAGCGGAGGGGACCGTTGTGACTCAGAGCCACCAGGAGGTGCCTTTTCTGGGAATTCCCTTTTCTCCTTCTGCGCCCCCACCGCAGGCCGTGACCTTACGTTTAATCCGTCTAATCCGTGTGGGCTTTGAATGCGTTTCCCTCTTGCTGCCTTCAGGAAGGGGGCGGGGCGGGCGAGGGGCGCCGATGCGGCGATTAACCTTCCGCTCACGAAGGCTCTTTTCCCGGTGGGATTCTCTCATCCCGCTGCTTCATTACGTGGCGGGAAGCGGAGCGTGACATGTTAAAAGCCGTCTTGATAGTATTTGATATTCAGTACTAACGACTCGCCACCTCTGAGGAGGGGGCTTCTCCCCACCCCCACCCCCCACCCGGGAAGGGGAGGGAGGCAATCTGCATATTGCCTGTGCCAAGACAGTGGGTGATTTGCATGAAGCATCCAGAACTTCTCCGGCTTGCAGTCCGTCACCCTTCACTGGGTTTTCACTTTCTCACCTTCACAGCAGAAGGGGAGCAGGAGCAGGAAAAAAGGCAGTAGCCGCACCCCCGTGGGGGCCGGAGGAGGAGCCCGGTCTGAGCACAGTTGTCGGCCCGGGGCGGGGCCCGCTCAGAACGGCCGGACCCTCCAGCAAGACCCAAGACCCTCGGGTGGGGCGCGGCCGTGCAGTCCGAACCAGAGACGGGCTCACCTGGTTCAGACTCGAGGGTTTTCCCGAGAACACCTGGTCTGGTTTTGCGATGGGCGTTCGTTCAAAGTCTCCCTGGAGTAGGCGCCCCCATGATGAGCTGGTGCGGGGGGGCGGGGGGTTCTCTCAGACCTGCAGCACCTGCAGAATTTGGGCTCAGGACAAAGCTGTGTGTTCACCCTCTGACTTCATTTGAGGAACTTGGGGAAATTTTGTTTGTTTGTTTGTTTTTTAAATACATAAATAAAGCCCGGCACCAGCTCAGACCAAGGACATCAGAATCTCCAGGCTGGGGCTGGGGCTGGGGCAGGGGACAGACGCTGGGCTGGGACCGGTCGTTTGCCTGTGCTGTCGTGCTGGAAGAGGGGGCCCTTGAGGCCTGAGCTCTGCCCCACCCCCAGCCTCTGTTTTCTGCTCTATAATATGAGGAGTCAGGTAAGGTCTCTGCCAAGGTGGCCCCAGACACACAGACGGGCCGGTGCGCCCTGGCCCTCACTCCTGCCTCTGCCAGGGCCCCTCTGCTGTTGTCTGTCTTCCATGTTGGATTTCCGGGTGAAGGATTATTGGAGAAAAGGGCTCCACAGCTGTGACGAGGTTTGCAACTCACAGCCTGGGCCTTCCCTTCCAGCAGCCAGGGACAAGGCGGGCTTGGGCCAGCCGGAGTGCAGGCCTCCTGGGGCTACCAGAGAGTTCCCTGAGGGATCCCAAGGCAGAGCTGCTCACCTGGGGAAAGGTGGGCTGTAAACCCACCACCACCCCCTGCATGTGCCTCCCCCTCGAGAGAGCGCTGAGCAGGCACAGACGACGTGAAATCCAGAACACAGACAGCTCAGCTAGCTTGGGGACAGAAGCCATCGGCACCGCCTCCATCCCCTCGAATACCTGCCAGAATCCAAGCCCCACTGGACCAGGACCACGGGCCCTGTGCTGGTGGGGGTGCCGGGGGCTGAGCTCCCGGGACCTCTGGAGGATGGGGAGGAAGTCAAGGACTGTGAGCAAACACCTGGGGCAGGTGTGCGGAGAAGGGAAAGCACCCTGAGGGACTCTCGGCAGACGGCAACCATCGAACGTGGGGTTTTCTCTGAAAAACCACTGAAGTTCTGTACAAAGGTGCTGACAAGGATCAGGGGCACGAGGTGGACCCCACGGTCCTCCGCAGCGTGTCAGGGTTGAGCCGGGAACCCCCCTTCCCACAGCACCCCCCAAGCTGCAGGGCAAGGCCAGCATTGCCTGCTGCGTGCCACGATTGTCAGCATCATCGCCATCATCACCGAGAACGGCTGTGACAACAGCGGCTCTTTGTTGGGTGCACACGACGGGAGGTAGATCAGGTGTCTCCACCCTGTGCCGCGGATACTATTATATCCCCATTTCACAGAGGAGGAAACAGGCTCAGAAAGGTTGAGTGACTTGCCCAAATTCACACGGCAAGTAAAGACCTAAACCTGGGCTCAAATCCAGGTACGAACCAGACCCAGCGCCCACCCACTGCATAGGCAGCCTCCTTGTGCATCTGCGTCCTGGAGCCCCTCCCACACAAGGGCAGGTGATGCAGGTGGTGACAGTGTTTCCCCTGGGGTCCATGTGAGAGAAGCTCAGCCAAAGGAGAAAAGAATCCTTCTCCCTCGTGCGACCCTGGGCCCTGCTCGGCCTCTGTCCTGACTACCTGCTCCCACCATGAGCAACCTGGGTCCCTCCTGGAACCCCACCCCCAGAGCGATGGATTCACTGCCTGTGGGACTAAGCCCCACCAGAGCCATCAGAGAGAGCTGAGCTGTGCCACGTGGCCCATGTGCCAGCCCAGGGCTCAGACCCCTCTCGGCCGGGTCTGCTCCACCTGAGAAAGGAGAGCGGAGAGAGTGGGCGTGAGACTCAGCTCGTCCACACACTCAGCAGAGCAAGTCCACTTATTTTAGACTTCCAGCCCCATCCTGCTAGGAAGGTGGAAAGCCCACCCTCAGCCATTCCGGGCTCCTCACCCCAACACCAGGGACAGCAGACTTCTAGGGTCCAGGAGGGTTGAGCCATAACCACAGGACAGCTGTCCCACTGGCCGGTCATCAGTGGGCACCCACCCTCGGGGACGTGTGGACCTTCAGTCCCATCCCCTTCGACCCCTCCCCAGCCTGCAGCCAACCCCTTGAGGCCAAGAAGTCTGGTGAGAGCAGGAAGCTGCAGGGCTCCGCTCCTGGGCTGGGCGGCCTCCCCAGCACCCTGCTCGGGGCCAGACCCCCGACCTCCACCTCCTCTTTAGTCTCCAGGCCCCGCCGTCTGGGGCGGCCCCTCAGCCGCCCATCACCTCTTCTCGCCAGTCTTCACCCCCTTCTCCTCCACTCCAGGACCCTTTGATGAGCTGCCTTGGTGCACTTGGACTTGGGGAAGACAAAAGCAAATCACCAGGCGGTCCACCCCCCAGATGACACCCCAGGGAAGGGAGGGAGAGCACAGAGCTCCCCAGGGCAGCGGGGTCTGGGGGGGGCAGCCTGGCCCTCCCACCTCCCTCCTCACGCTCATCTGCGGCCTCCCAGCAGAGAGGGAGCGCTGCTCAGGGTGGGCCAAGGCGCCACCCTCCCCGGCCCCCGCCTCCCGCAGCCCTGGCCTCTGACCGCCCTGTCTCTCTCCCTCAGTCCACGGCATCAAGTGGACCTGCAGCAATGGGAACAGCAGCTCGGGCTTCTCGGTGGAGCAGCTGGTGCAGCAGATCCTCGACAGCCACCAGACCAAGCCACAGCCACGGACCCACAACTGCCTCTGCACCGGCAGCTTGGGTGAGCGGGTCTCTGGGGGGCAGGCGGGCACCACGGGCCCCGGGGACTATGCCAGCCAGCGGGCAAGGCTCTCCTCCTCAGGGGTCGCTGTGCTGTCCAGGGAGAGGAGGGGGTGGGCCAGAAGCCGGGCGACAGCAGGACAGACTCGGCCGGCTGGCGGGACAGCCCACTTTGGGCTGGAGAGAGCAGCTCTGGGGAGTCAGCTCAGTCTAGGAGCTGGAGGGTGGGTGCGTGGGGCTGGGGCTCAGGCCTCTGTCCACCCACCGCAAGCGCCCACCAGGCCCCCTCTAGGCCCCACGACCTCGGGCGGTGTCAGCTGGAGGCCCAGGTCCCCAGGTGCTGGGCCAACACGGGCTGCTCAGGAAGCTCGGCCCGAGTCAGTGGGACCCTCAGCCTAAACCTCCGTCTCCTCCGAGAGGGTCCAGTGCCCCGCATTCTCCGTCCCAGGGTGTCTGCTTTCTGACAATGGCACTAGAAGTGTGAGTTCTCTGCCCCCTCCGCCGCCTTAACGAGGCCCCTCCATTAGAGGGTTGCGTCACCTCCCGGCAAAGTCTAAGTGCATTTAGGAGCCTCCGTGGCGATGCAGTAACAGGTGCAGGAGGGAATTCACCCTCTTATCAGAAGCAAGTGACCTTTATCAGACGGAATGAAAATAATGATGGACTGGGAGGGAAAAGGGCGAGGAAAGCCGCCCGGCCGCCAGTGGGAGGCCTCGGGGGTCACGCCCTGAGTGGGACTCGCCAGGCTCAGACGTACTCTGAGCTTGAGGCTTTTTTCTTCTCTGTCGCTGAACTAGGTGTTTTAGAAGGATTTTGTCCCACAAAGAGCTGAGGGCAGGCCCAGGTGGCTAGAGAGAGTGTTTCTGCCTGTGGAGCAGTCTGGAGCTCTTTTGGGTCCTGGGCCTGAGAGCTGATCCGGGGAGAGTGCCCTGCTCTACACCCCACCCCCAACCTCTAGTGCCCTGTCCCCGAGGTGGCTCCCTACTGGACCCCCTGGAGGACAGGGGCTTCCTAAAACGCTGAGTGGCCTGGTCAGGCACAGAGAGTTTCAGAGGAGGGGAGACAGACCTTGCCCCCGTCGCCAGGCCGGCCAGAGCCCTTCCAGTGACCGCTGTCCGCCTCTGAAGCGGGGAGGGGCCATCCTGGGGGGCAGGGTTCCCTCCAGCCTCTCCTCCCCTGCCCTCTGCGTACTGGGGCCTCACCATAACTCTGCAGAAAGTGAGTCAGGGAGAAAGGGCCCTGGCCTGGGGGACAGTAGCACAGAGCCTGGGGTCAGTGCGCCCCAGACTCTGAGTGTCTGTTACGTGCGGGCCCCAGGGGATCGGTGGTCTGGCCAGGCTCCTGGGCAGGGGGTGCTTAGCGAGGCCCCGGCTGCCCAAAGACAGCACCCACCGCGGCCCCAGCTCTGACTCTCTCCCTGTGTGCGTGTGCGTGCGTGTGCGCGTGTGTGTGCGTGCGCGTGCCCTGACCCCCGCAGGAGCAGGCAGCAGCGTGCACCACAAGTGTAACAGTGCCAAACACCGGATCATCTCGCCGAAGGTGGAGCCGCGGGCGGGGGGCTACGGGGGCCACGCCGAGGTGCAGCACAACGACGTGTCGGAGAGCAAGCATGAGCACGGCCACGCCAAGGGGTCGAGCCGCGAGAAGCGGAACGGCAAGGTGGCCAAGCCGGTGCTGCTGCACCAGAACAGCGCCGAGGTGTCCTCCACCAACCAGGTGGAGGTGCCCGACACCACCCAGAGCTCCCCCGTGTCCATCAGCAGCGGGCTCAACAGCGACCCCGACATGGTGGACAGCCCCGTGGTCACAGGCGTGTCCAGCATGGCGGTGGCCTCCGTGATGGGCAGCTTGTCCCAGAGCGCCACGGTGTTCATGTCCGAGGTCTCCAACGAGGCCGTGTACACCATGTCCCCCACCGCCGGCCCCAACCACCACCTCCTGTCGCCCGACGCCTCCCAGGGCCTGGTCCTGGCCGTGAGTTCCGACGGCCACAAGTTCGCCTTCCCCACCACGGGCAGCTCGGAGAGCCTGTCGATGCTGCCCACCAACGTGTCCGAAGAGCTGGTCCTCTCCACCACCCTCGATGGTGGCCGGAAGATTCCAGAAACCACCATGAACTTTGACCCCGACTGTTTCCTCAATAACCCAAAGCAGGGCCAGACGTACGGAGGCGGAGGCCTGAAAGCCGAGATGGTCGGTACCAACGTCCGGCACTCGCCACCAGTAGAGAGGGGCTTCAGCTTCACCACCGTCCTCACCAAGGAGATTAAGACAGAGGACACGTCCTTCGAGCAGCAGATGGCCAAAGAGGCGTACTCCTCGTCTGCCGCGTCCAGCTCCCTCACCTTGACCGCAGGCTCCAGCCTCCTGCCCTCAGGCGGCGGCCTGAGCCCCAGCACCACCCTGGAGCAGATGGACTTCAGCGCCATCGACTCTAACAAGGACTACGCGTCCAGCTTCAGCCAGACGGGCCACAGCCCCCACGTCCACCAGACCCCCTCCCCCAGCTTCTTCCTGCAGGACGCCAGCAAGCCCCTCCCCCTCGAGCCGAGCGCCCACAGCAGCCTGAGTGACTCTGGGGGCGCCTTCGTGATGCCCACCGTGAAAACGGAGGCCTCGTCGCAGACCAGCTCCTGCAGCGGCCACGTGGAGACGCGGATCGAGTCCACGTCCTCGCTGCACCTCATGCAGTTCCAGGCCAACTTCCAGGCCATGGCGGCGGAAGGCGAAGTCAACATGGAGACGTCGCAAGTGGCCGAAGGGGGCGAGGGCCTGATCAAGTCCGGGGAGCTGCAAGCCTGCAGCTCGGAGCACTACCTGCAGCCCGAGACGCCCGGGGTCATCCGCAGCGCCGGGGTCCCCATCCTGCCGGGCGGCGTGGTGCAGGGGCTGTACCCCGCGGCGCAGCCGGGCCTGGGCGGCGCCTCCAGCATGGAGCTCAGCCTGGACCACTTCGACATCTCCTTCAGCAACCAGTTCTCCGACCTGATCAACGACTTCATCTCCGTGGAGGGGGGCAGCGGCACCATCTACGGGCACCAGCTGGTGTCGGGCGACGGCGCGGCGCTCTCGCAGGCGGAGGACGGGGCCCGCGCCCCCTTCGCCCCGGCGGAGATGTGCATCCCCTGCTGCAGCCCCCAGCAGGGGGGCCTGCAGCTGAGCGCCAGCGAGGGCGGGGCCGGCACCATGGCCTACATGCACGTCGCCGAGGTGGTCTCGGCCGCCTCGGCCCAGGGCACCCTGGGGATGCTGCAGCAGAGCGGACGGGTGTTCATGGTGACGGACTACTCCCCGGAGTGGTCTTACCCAGAGGTAAGCGGCTGCCGCCTTCGCCGCCCCACGCCCGCCTGGCCTGCTCACCCGCCAGCTCTCCGCTAGGGGGAGCTCGCTTGCATGGGGCTTTCGGGACCGCACGGGCCAGGCTGTCCCCTCCCTCTGTCCCCAGGGCACTTGGAATACCTCCACCCCTCTGAGCAGTGGGTCCCAGTCTTCACCCGAGCAAGTAGCTTTAAAGTCAGGGGCCCTCCCAGCTCTAGCCAGGGCTGTCCGCTGTCACCTGGCTCATGTGTTAAGATCCCACTTACGTTTTGCTTTGCCTTTTTTTTTTTTTTTCTTGAGGGGGAGGATCCTAGGGCTGTTGAAAAAAATAACAAAAATCACCACCATAGACCGTGCATATCCATTGCTCTTGATTTACTTCACTGAAAAACAAAACAAAACAAATCCCCCTCAAACCCAGAGGAGGGTGCAGCTTCCGAATAGTCATCGGTGGGATTTCCTGGGTAAATCCAGTCTCTACAAAATCCAAGCCCTGCTATGTGACCCAGGCCCTCCCGTCTGTGCCCCTGCCCCGGTCATCTCAGGTCCGGGGACTGAGATCTGACGTTGGAGTCACTGCTCCAAACGGTCTTGCCACGATGACGAAAGTGTTTAAGGAAGGAATGCTTGCCTTTCTCTGACGTAGCATGGCATCGGAAGGGGACTGTGTGGCCCACTGGGGCACACTCCCCAACTCCGCCCAGCCAGCCCGCCTGCCAGGTGCTTAGGACCCAGATCTGCACCCTGTCCCTAGTTGGCGGCCGCCTACAGCTTCCTCGGTGCCATTGCCATGTCCCCTAGATGCCAAGACAGAGGGCGCTGCCCAGGACACCGAGGAATGGACACTCCTGAAAGACCCCGAGTCTCGTGGGTCATCGTAAGGGGGTGACACAGACTCTACAAAGGTCTCCAGGCAGCACAGGGATGCTGGCCAAAGCCATACCCCCTCCAGACCCAGGCACCGGCAGGGGCTCCCAGGACAATGTCCAAGTCAGGACAGGGTTAACAGGGCGCTCAGAGAGGCAAAGCGCTTCTCAGAGATGGTCCTTGCTTCAAAGTGTCCCCTGGGCCCTGGTGACGGGGACAGTGAGGTCTTGTGGTAGAGGGCGCATCTCAGGGGACACTCCTAGGTGTGGGTCCTGACTCTGCCGTGGCTTCACCTCTCTGCGACTCAGTTTCCTCACCTGTAAGATGGAGTGGCAACTGTACCTGACTCAGGTATGGCGCCAGGAGTGCTCGGTAAAGTCTTTGGCCTGTAGGATGTAATCAGTGAATACCGGTGATCACCGCGTGGCCATCACAGCCCGTGGCCCACTGCGTTCCTTTTCATGTCCTCCTGCCATGGCCATGGAAAGAGGCCACTCACTGGTTGACCATGTATGACCTCGAAGGGGCCTCGCTGTCACAGTCTTGACCGGGAAGCTCACACCTGCTCCGTGTCCTTCCTTTATGGCAAAGCTAAGGTGAAATCTGTGTGCAAACGCCCCCAGCTCTCGGATGCCACGTGGGCCCAGCTCGTGGCCCAGCTTTCAGACACGAGCATCTCGGCAGGTGTCTAGACGGCAGTGCGTGCCCACGCACCACGTGCACGGCGTGGTTATACACGCCCTCGGGGGCCCAGAGGCAGCTGCTTTGTATGGCGAGGAGCACGAGGCCGGGGCCGGACCGTCTGATTCCAACCCTGGCCCCACGCTTACTGGCCGGGGCCTGGGCAGGGGGCTGCCTTTCCTGTCTCTGCCTCATTGGGGGAAGTGAGGACTGAGCAAAGTGTTTGGGCAGCGCCTCTCTCTTCTGCCCCTCTTCGTTTGCTGGGTCAGTGTGCAGGTCTCTGGGTCAGTCCAGGCCGCACTCTGGCCTCCTTGGGCCCGCAGGCACTAGAGGGGGCCCTTCGCAGGCCCTGTCTGTCCCCGAGGGCCCACCCACACGCAGATCCACGAGCTGTACCTGGAGAAAGGCAGTTCGGCAGCTGGCCACGGGAGGGCAGCACGGGAACGAGGAAGGGATGGTGGTCCGTGCGCCTCGCAGAGGGAGCGTCCAGGCCTGGTTTTCCTAAAACCCTCGGTGAGCCCAGCTGCCCAGGAACAAAAGCAGCTCAAATTCAATTGGATTTGGAAGATGCCCAGATGCCACCCAGCCGGGTGCTTTGAGGCTGACCCTGGCCGCGTGGGGAGACCTCTCCAGAGGCCCTGGGGGCTCTGCCGGCCGCTGCTTCCTCACCATCCTGTCCCACCCCAGCCGCTGTCCCCAGTTCAGCAGCAGAGCCACCGCCTCCTGGGTTCCCTGCAGAGGAGAGGAGCCAGCACCTCTCCAGACCCTTCCCCGCCCTCAGCCCCCTGGCTGGCGTGCTCGCCTGTCCCCTTCTCCACAGGCAAGAGGCCTGCTTGCTGTGTCTGGAGCCCCGTTCCCGCCCGGTTGCCAAGCTCGTGGAGGGCTCTGCGTGAGACACGCAGACCCAGGGACGCTTCTGTAACTGTGGGGTCGGGCTGAAGTCCCTCAGGCCCCACCAGCTCTAAAATTCCTGGTGCTCAGGCACCCACTTTGCAGGAACAGGAAGACCAGGGCCCTCTTGCTGTCTCTTCTTGGAGGGTGTCCCCCAACAGGCTGCTCCCACTTCTGTGCTCTGTTCACCTCTCCACCTCCAGCTGCAGCTGGTCACCACCACACACACACACACACACACATGCACACGCACGCATATGCACACACACGCATGCACATGCACGTGTATGCACACGTGCACACATGCACACGCACGCGTATGCACACACGCACACATGCACACACACACATGCACACGCATGCACATGAACACACGCACGCATACGCACATGCACACACGCACACGCACACACACATATGCACACACACGCATATGCGCACACGCACACATACACACATGCGCACACATCCACACGCACACATGCACACACGCACACGCACGCACACACATGCACACCCTGGAGCTGTCCTTGGTGCATGTGCGTCTGGGTCCTTTATCTCAGGACTCCCAGGGTGTGGAGACCTCAGATGGCATTTGTTACTCCGTCCCCTCCCCCAGCCCTTCTGCGCACCGCCCTCCACGGCCACTCCTGCTGCTCCAGGCAGAGGCGGCTGCAATTAGAGCCTCAGGTGCCTGCGACACAGCAATTCAGCACAGCCAGGCGAGCATTGCCATGGAAACCGTCCCCTGAACTGATGGATGCTGAGCCCATCCCGGCGGTTTCCATGGAGAAATCCTGATGTGCTGCCGCTCCCGCTGTCCTTTGTTCCTCTCAGCGGCCCTGGCTCCGCACTCACAGCTGCCGACTGGGGTTACTGTTTCTTTCCCTTCTCTCGTGGTAGCTGTCGGTGGCCTTTTGAAGCCACCGATCTTCCACTTCCCAGGATCCAGGGAGGCTCGTGCCCCAAGTTGGCATCCCAAAGTCGGGGTGCACTTCCCAGCCAGGAACCCACTCCCAGCCTGTGGTCCCAAGGAGGCCAGCCTGGCCCCGCCACGGCCACAGAGTGCCAAATCTCCCTATAGGGCCTTATATCAGACCCAAGGAATGTTAAGGCCACAGGGCCCCCGAGGGGTCAGATGCCACCCGGAGAGGCTGGGCCACTCGCCTGAGGACACACGGCTACGGAGGGGGAGGGGCGGGCCTCCTGTCTTTGGTTCTTGGTCGTTTGCTCTCTCCACTGCCCTCCGAACTTTGCTGTCCAGCTATAAGACGGTTCCTCCAAAGCCAGCCCAGCCCAGAAGAAGGCCTGTCCGAGAGCACGGGGTCGTGTCCTCCGTGGTGGGCCCCTCTGTCCCATGCTGAGCACGGGAGCCACCTGCACTTCAGCCCTCGACACAGTCCCCCCTGCTGCAGACGCCCCGGGCCAGGTCTGGGCCAGGCCTCTGGACAAGCCTCTTGCTGAGGCTGGGGGTCCCTCTGGGGCAGGGATGAGCCAGAGCCAAGGAGAGGTTACCGAGAACAGCTGACTGAGCAGAAGAGAGCGTCTGGCTGGCATGGGGCAGCGTGAGGGGGCTGGGGTCTGGCCTCTGTGGCCTGGAGAGGGCAGAAGGAGGGCCGTGGGCCCCACACTTGTCACCACCACCACCGCCACCCCCAACCCCCACCACTCCCACCTCCCCACCCCCCATTAACCACCCCAGTCTCCAGCTGGCCACCTCTCAGCCTTCTATAGCCCAGACACCAGGTGGCGCTCTCCACCCTGTCCAGCGTGGCTCTTGGCCACCTGCTGGGAAAGGTGGATGGAGCGGGTGGTGGTCCCACCCACGCAGAGCCAGAGAGGCCAGCACCCCCACCCTCTGTACCCCCCACTCAGCGCACCCTCCCCTGGGCTGTCTGAGCCCCGAGTTAGGCACCCACAACTCCTTGTCCACTTTGTTCACACGATGGAGTGCAAGGAGGCACCGTTAATCACTCGGCAGGGACAGTGGCCGTGGAGCAGGACCGGCCAGGGCAGCGGGACAGAAGCCTGCCTCCTCACTCGGTGGCATGCGCTGGCGGGTTCCGGCAGGAGGTCAGGCAGTGGCCCCACCTTTCCTGCAGCCTCTGTGTCCTTTTCCCCTTGAGCTGAGCAAGGTCATCCGAGCCCCCCACCCCCTGATCCCGCCCTGTAGGAGCAACTGCGGCCCAGCCAAGCCACCCGCACATCCGCGCCTGTGTGTGCTGTGTGCGTGCACAGTGAGGGGACCAGACTAGCTGTGTGGGTGGTGGCACAGACAAGAGCCCTCGATGGCTCAGCACAGAGACGAGGCCAGTGCTCGGACCCGCCCTATGCCCAAGCCCCAGCTCGAAGCCCCTCTCCAGCCCAGGGCAATCTCTGAGCCCCTCCAACTCAGCCTGCCTTCCCCATTTTTCTGTCTGTCGTCTTCCGCATCACCTAGTTCATCCGCCCCTCCCTTCCTTGCCCCCTCCCCTGAGAGTCCCTGGTCCCTTCTAATTTAGCCACCAGAACTTCCAGTTCCTTCAGTGACATTAAAGATGCTCAGGCCTCTTTTCAAAACTCAAAGCTCCCTCAATCTGTCCGTCAGCAAATGACAGAGGAAGCCCCCTCCCACCCCTCCACTTCCTTCAGGGGAAGCACCAGGGGGAGGAAGGCTGGGGTCTCTCTTCCTGCTGCAGTCCTGAAATGGGGACTCTCAAAATCAGGGCTTATTGGAATCCAGGGACCTGCATGTTCAACAAGCCCACGGGGGCGGGGGCAGAGGTGCAGACCCCCACGTGGGCAGGGCGGTCTCGGAGGCCTGCGCCCCCCAGCCCTGCCCGAGGCTGA